GGGCCGGGCTGCCTCAGCGGGACCCACACGCCCAGGTGCGCGAAGACCGACGCTAGGCCACGCTCGAGGAAGGCGGCTCCCAAAACCAGGCGGCTGGAGGACGAGGGAGCGCGCGCGCACCGGAACGTGTCAGTCAGTGGGATGCCGGCCTACGGGGGAAAGGGGGACGCGCCTTGCCCGAGTTGTGAGCCGGCCCGGGACACACGGAGGCAACGCCACCAGCCGGCGCCTACCCCACTGCACAGTAAGACGCGGCATCGCCTCCGGTCCCACAGCCCCTGACCGGACGCGCTGGGCCGCCTCCTCCCCCACGGGCGGCGGCGGCGGGGCGGGGCAGCCCCTACCACAGAACAGGGGCGGGCCCTTTCTAGAGAAGTCCGCGCCTTCCCCCGCGGTGCGCGAGGGGAGGAGCCGAGCGACTGAGGCACGTTGGCGGAGGGGGCGGGGCCTGTGCTGCCGTCGTCCGGAGCCTTCTCGGGGCCCGCGTTGATTTGCTGCTGCTTTAACGGCCGAGAGGGACGTGCGGCCAACTCGACGCCGTGACGCAGGTTCGCGCCCCCTCCTAGGGGGAGGAGAGTGTGGCCGGGCCGGGCGCGCACCCTCCCTGAACGCTGCCTGCGGCTGCCGCTGGTGAGTGAGCCCCGCCGTGCCAAGCCGAGGCGGCCTCGGCCCTCGCCGGGCTGCGGGAGCGGCCAGCGCAGGTCTCCCGGACGGGCTGCAAGAGCCTGTGCGGGACTTGTCTCGCTCCCCGGGCAGGAAGGTCTCCCCGACTCCTGAGGCTGCTCCGGGCCGGGCGGGCGGGTCGTTGGGCTAGAAACCCCCTCGCTGCCGGGCGGATGGTCTGGCCATGCAGCTTGGAAGGGGGCGATGGGCGGGAGCCGGCTCGCTGGAGCGCTGCCAAGGAGTGTCCTAAGCCTGATCCTCCTCCCCACGCCCTGACCCGCCTCTCATCCCCCGCCCCGAAGGCGGACCCTTCTCTCCACAGAGCCTGAGATAGCCCCTAGTCTTAGCGGTTGCCAACACACTAGAGCCAGCCCGTGTGCATGGCCCCCCATCACGCTGTAATGTGGGGACCACAGCCCCTGCTTGCACTGTCAAACATAGCACTTTACATCCTGGGGAGACTTACAGCTTCAGGCTGCTTATGGGGCATGTGTCCCCCATCTATAAATGGGGAAACTGAGGTGTGGAAAAACGTGATTTGCTCAGTATTAGGGTAAATCAGGACCAGAAGCCGAGAGTAAAACCCTGGAGTCCTGGTTCCCAGAGCCCTGTTCAAATACTTGCAACGACAATCTTATAGCCAAGATCCTCTTGATAAACTGCTCATTGTTTCAGAGAATGTTGGTTTTTTTTACTTTTGGATGAGATTTGATATAAAAGTTAAAATGAATAATTCAGCCTCAATTAAAAAAAACAAAACAGATGCCAAAAGTCTGTTATCCTAGTCTGGGCCTGCCATTGAGCTCTGATCCTTTAATCTCCAGTGTGCTGTTCAGTGCTCATCTCGCTCTCTTTCTGGTTATTCGATATTTAATTAGAGATCCTAGTAGCTTTTTTGACTCCGTGGTAAATCCTATACTTCAGATGTTCTCAAATTTTTTTCACTGTACCCATTTTTATACAGACAATGTCTTGTGGACTACCATCCTCTCCCATTCACAAGTCTGGAAAGGAACTTCTCCCAGGTGGCAGTCATGCAAATCTATGTTACAATTACAACCATTGTTTATATTTAAAATATCCTAATGCTGGATATTTTTATTGTTTTTATTATTTTTAGCTGTCGTAATACATCTTAACAGCTGTAAATGAGGAGAAACTAGCACCATGTAATTAGCCAGCTCTCTGCAGACCACCAGCAACTACTACATGGACCAAAATTTGTCACATATTTGATCCTATTAGAGAGACAAAGTAGGTGAGGTAATACCTTTTATTGGACCAACTACTCTTGGTGAGAGATTGATTCTTTTGAGTTACATAGAGCTCTTCTTCGTGTCTGGGAAAGATTTTCAGGGTGTCACAGCTAAATATAATGTTGAACAGATAGAATATGTGCTAACTGCTTGTGCTAAACTGGCTGTTGGATCTTGTATTTAGCTGTGACACTATGTACCTTTCCCAAGCCTGAAGAAGAGCTCTGTGTAGCTCAAAAGCTTGTCTCTCTCACCAACAGAAGTTGGTCCAATAAAAGATGTTATCCCACCCACCTTGTGTCTCTAATATTCTGGGCCCGATATGGCTACAACTGAGACCATATTAGTGTGCCTTCCTGTTTTATATAACCTCCCTAGAGATTGTTTTTTTAAAAAACCCAACAAATATTGTTAGGATCTTGCAGTCAGAAAAGTAATGATACCATTGTGTTGCTATGAATGTATACAGTACCTAAATACCTACAAGCATGTGCAGCTTCTGCAAGTTAATGTTGTTACGAGAACCATAAACTTGAATTCCTTGACAATTGTTTAAACATGTAACCTTATTTTACATTTCCCATACGAAAGTTAACTATTTTTATGAATATCACAGGTAGCTAATATATTATATATGGGCAAATTAAAGTTGTTACTGTACAAAACATAATTGTTGCATTCACTGACCACTTTTTGCTTAAACATGCTGTTTTATTTGTTGCCTAAAAGTAGCTTTATTATTTTTGCATTTAATTTCATTCTTTTAGGCTATGCCTGCAATACAGAATTTTACAAAAAAACAAAAACCACAAAGGTTGCTATCACTGGCTTAGCAGAACTGGTGTTTATATAGGTAAGAACCATCATATAAGCAATGCTCTGGCAGCTTCCACCATTTTTACCACATGTTAGTGCTGTTTCTTTCACAACCACCTCTGGGCTGAGAATAAGTAGGGAAAGGTTTGAAAGAGAATTTTTCAGAAGTTAGGAGCATGTGAAACTAGGGGTAAAAGCATGCCCTTGTTGAAGTCAATGGGAGTTTCGCTATTGATTTCAGTGGGCCAGGATTTCATCCTAGTTTCTAACAGAAGTCCCATCATAACCCTAACTAAGGTATTTGTGAAAGTGAAAGCTAATAACTAACTTTTTTCTTTCCACTCACTGTCTCTTTTTTTTTTTTTTAAAGTTCCAAAAGACATTAGTTTCAGATGGGGCAGCCATTTTGGGTACTGAACAGCATGAGGCACATTGGTACTAAATAAATAATAATTGTCAAAAATAGTTTCCATTTCACAAAATTTTTATAGCTGTTCTTAAGTATTTAAAAACTTTGTTTTATTTGAAGGGAGAAAGGTATATGTCAGGAGTATTGACTTTTTACAACTAGGTCAAAAGCTTCAGTTTTGGTGCAGAAATTCCTTAGTTATGGAATAAGTTGTAATATTTTGTTTTTTGTATTGCAAACCTCTAAATATGTTTCTTTTTTCAATAATACTGTTTTACTCTCATAGGTAACTCTTTTCCTGTTTGCAATAAAAATGGCAGAAGCAACTGCTGACCCTCCAGAGAAGCTTGTTGTTATCCATTCCAAGGCTCACAGAGATACCATTCTAGCTAATTTTGCGGAACAAAGGAAAAAGAATTTTCTTTGTGATATCACTTTAATAGTAGAGGATGTGCACTTCAGAGCCCACAAAGCTTTACTTGCTGCCAGTAGTGAGTACTTTTCAATGATGTTTGTAGATGAGGGAGAGATAAGCCAGTCAATTTATATGTTGGAGGGAATGGTTGCAGACACTTTTGGTGCACTACTGGAATTTATCTACACAGGTTATCTCCAATCCAATGAAAAAAGTATGGAACAAATCTTGGCAACTGCACAACTCCTAAAAGTGAATGATTTAGTGTGGGCACATGCAGATTATCAGACCAGCCATAGCCCAAATAATGTATTACCTCTCACATCTAGTAGTGGTGCTTCAGTAGTTGTCTTTGCAAATGACAAGAAAAATGGCGATCCACCAAAGCGAAAACGAGGAAGACCAAGAAAAGTCAAGAATGTTCAAGAGGAAAAATTTGGGACAACTTCTGTTGAAGATGTGCAGCTAAGAGAGAACAATTCAGTGCAAAATAAACAAAATTTTATGAAAAATGTTGCAGCGGAAGAAACCGTTGCCAGTGAACAAGTTCCAGTAAGGAAAGAAGTGGAAGAAACTGAGCCAGCTTGTGGTTCAGAAGCTGCTGTAGATCTGTCAGCTGAGAAGGATGAGAATTATGATCCTAAATCTCAAGGAATACAGAGCAATCAGAGTCGTTACAGCAAACGTAGGATACGGAGGTCTATCAAGCTAAAAGATTATAAACTTGTTGGTGATGAAGATGTAAAAGTATTGACAAAGAGAACTGATAGAAAAAGAAAACGCACAGGTTCTGAAGCTTGTTGCAAAGAATGTGGCAAAGTGTTTAAATATAATCACTTTTTAGCTATTCATCAGAGAAGTCATACAGGTAGGCATAAAAGACTACCTTTTTTGGGTTAGGGTATGGTAACTTGCTACAATTGGTTTGCATTGTAATTATTCAAATGTTGCTTTATATTGTGGTATTGCTAAACACATGCTATATATATGGTGGATCACCAAGATTTTGTTTCTACTATTTTACTTAATTCTCACCTTCAGAGATTATAATCTTTGTAGTTTGCACACTGCTATCTAGTTAAGTTTTTTCCAATGAAAAAATATTAAATTGGATATTGGCAGTGCCTGTGCAATGATACTTAAAAAATAATTGATTTTGAATGATTGCTATAAGGAAGCTTAGGTTTTTGTCTGTATTAATCCTCCTGGTCTACTGAAAATTCATTTTTTAATTGTGATAATGTACTGGTAACAAGATGCATTGCAACTTAGAATATTTACTTATAAATTTATTAGTAATAACTCTTTGCTATTTACAGTCTTGGTGCTTTACTTTTAGGAGAACGCCCTTTTAAATGCAATGAATGTGGTAAAGGCTTTTCCCAGAAGCACTCTCTTCAGGTTCATGAGCGGATGCATACTGGAGAGCGACCATATACCTGTACTGTCTGTAGTAAGGCTTTAACAACAAAACATTCTCTTTTGGAACACATGAGCCTACACACAGGTAAGTAATCAAAGACAAATATAATCTAGCTATATTAAGTATTAGACATTTCAAAACAAACATTTCTGCTCAGTATTTTCTTTTTAAGGCAAGTGTTAGCTACCTTACAGCGTAAGAGTCTAAGTTATACAGAAATGTTAGTTATGTTTTAGCTTAATTTTTGGAATTTAATTATTTGTATTTTTAGGAATATTAATTTTTATTACAGGACAGAAGGCTTTTACATGTGATCAGTGTGGGAAGTATTTTAGCCAAAAGAGACAACTGAAGAGTCATTACCGAGTGCACACAGGTATAACAAGGCTGGTGTGGGAGGACAGGAGGGCTGCCTGACTTTCTCCCTCCTCCCCTTCCCCTATCATAGATTCATAGATTCTATGACTGGAAGGGACCTCGAGAGGTCATCGAGTCCAGTCCCCTGCCCGC